TTAAATCAAATTTAACTTAACGACAAAATTGTTGAATCACAAGAATAATTGTGTATAATTAAAAGAAAAAAGCTGTGGCTGATTTTTTGGGTGATAATTGAAAGTCACTACTTATGTTAACAAGTTGTACCTTTTATTTGGGAGCTTAATTATAGAAACTTCGTCAGACCAGTTTTATGTTGGGTGCCTCCTAGTAATTTTTTTAAGATGCGTGTGAATAAGAACAAAACACGTTGGAATGACTCGTGTAGGCTTGTAGAAATAATCTTCACTCTTAAGAAGAGTGGAGTAGGTAATGTGACCACATCGTAAGGGATGCAGGAGAATGTCGTTGGAGTATGAGTACTTGCTAGAATGACTCATGTTGGTTTGTAGAAATAGTTTTCACTCTTAAGAAGCGAAAAGTAGGTAACGTGACTACATCGTAAGGGATGCAGGAGAATGACGTTGGAGGATGAGTACTTGCTGGAATAACTCGTATTGGTTTATAGAAATAGTCTTGACTCTTAAGAAGCGAAGAGTAGGTAACGTAACCATATCGTAAGGGGTGTAGGAGAACGTCGTTTGAGGACGACTGGAATGTTGTTGAGGGAAGAATGGGAGGAAGAAAGTAGACATCTTACCATTTTTGTACATCAATATATTAGCCAATCACCACCCCCTCACACCCATAATTATTTACTCACAAGCCCTCGCCCACAAAAATGTATTTAACGACAACACCCCACACTTTCCTTAATTTACCCACACGACCCCAACATCTTTGAGACAACAAACATGTGGAACCAATAATTCTATCGAATGGGGAATATTTGTAGTCCTGAAAAATTATGTCGAATTATGACAAAACTTTCACTAGTCTTTTCGTTGTATAGTGAATGATTTAACTTCAGATATAGTCTAGTTAAATTTTTAGATGATTTTATATCACAAAACAAATTTATTCATCTTCGAAATTTTTGTTTATAAAATTGAAAATTATTTTTACAAGTTTCTTATATAATTTTAAATAATTTGCATGATTTCAAAATCTTAGTCGTATAATTCGTGATCCAATAATAATTTTTAAGGTTGATATTATATGCTCGATTCATCGAGACATTTTCAAGCATGATTCTCGTGTAGGGCTGCGAGCTCCTCATCGGTGGCCACCTTTCAATGGGGCAACCTTAATGCTGTCCTATATGTTTTGGTCACTCTCCTAGTGATTGGTTGATGAATATGTATTGAATTGGCAGGCTCAATGTTGACTGATGGTGTACCAACAGAATTGGATTGAGTTCAAGACTGATAGCTCAGCTTAGGTAGCTGTGGCATGCTGCCATTGAGACGCTGTCCCAAAAACTGTACGAATTTCTAATGAGGAATGATAGTGTCGAGATGTCATAGGCAACGTCTTGATGCTATGGACAAAAACTTGAGTGCATGAACGTTTTTTTTTTCTTTTGTGTGCAAGAAACACGTGACACGACACATGACACTAATCTCGTAGCATTGAGATGCAAGCTGCGGATTGCTTGACTTGTTTGATGCAATTTTTGGTGTTTAGACAACTCTTGACAGCGTTTCACGTTGTCTCTCTTTGACCCTTTTGGTTTGTTTCCTTCTTCTCTTAATTAGTTCCATTTTCTTACTACTTTGATAAAAAAAGAAAGTTCCAATTTTGTTCCAAATGCTCAAAACTAGGTGTGCTATTAATCACTTGCCAATCGGATATAATTGTAAAACAAAATATAAAAGACTCAAATACAAAAATAGGCTGACGTTTGAAACGATCTCCGGTGTGACTGCACAACTTTAAAATGCTGATTCACCTCGACCGATAGCCTACGAACACAAAAAAAAAAGTAAGGGAAAAGGGATGAGTATAAAAATATACTCTGTAAGCAATCTGGTTGTAGGCTATTATTGCATCTTTATCCTTATAAGTATCCATGAACTTTCCTCAGGACTTTAAGAAGTTCAGGCCTAGGTTCCACTGTTATTTGAGCAACTGGGTTCCTCAATGTTTCGAGTAGGTCTCTGAACTTAGGTGTACCCTTAGGGGTCTATGCTAGTTTTAATCTTTCTTTTCTATGACTTGGGTGGGTTGTCTTGCTTATGCAATGAATGACCAGTTTCTTGGGTTGAGATGGGATACGGTTGGTTTTAAATTTGAACAACAATCTGACAAACCCTCCCAAGGGATCAGTGTCCATGGGGTTAGTTGATAGATCCTTCCATTGGACCAAAAGTTGCCGGAGTTTGGGAGAAGCGATTTTTTGTGTGTCGATCAGCTATTAGGTCACATACATGGTCCCACGCTCTCCTGCTTAGGTACGGGTTTACAACATAGAAGTTCTATTTAGGAGACCCCTAGTCATTTCTACTAGGTTGTGGCATGTGTTGTGTTGCCCTAATCAGCGACACCTAGCTCCACAATATGGGAACAAGAGTAGACTCTTGAGGTACGGTACTAGAGTGAAAATGGTGGTGGACAGACGGGTGACATTATTCACACTACTATAGCATGATGAGTTACCTTGGTCTTTTTTTGTTTTCGTGGAGGCCTATGAGATTCTTAGGGGCTTCTAGGCAACTTAAATCTCATCTCTCATTTCAAGGACGCTAGGGGTTAGCTCTTCGGAGCTAATCCAAGTCTTTAGGTGCACTTAGGTCCAGACCTCTAATTGCTACTCACAATCCTAAGGTGTAGGGTCTATTGGAAACGTTCGACCTAGGTCAATGTGTAAATCATACTACCTGTAGCACACAAATCTTAACTTAGTTCTCTCATGCATGCTTTACTAGGGAGTTATACCTATTGATCACCTATGAACGTATTTCATAATTTAAACTTCACCTTGGTCATATCTAGGGGTTGAGGTCTATTGGATTCCTAAGGCATCTAGGTGGCTTAACACGAACTCCTAGCTCCAGGTTGCTCTGTTTTGACTCCTCGAGTCTTTCTTAACTTGGGAGCACTAGGGTCTAGACCCTCTAACCATCACTCACGATCCTAAGGTTCTCAGTCTATTAGAGGCGTCTTGAATTAGGTCACCATCTAGTCAACCTAACTCTAACGCTCGAGCTTTGTGCAGATAAACACTCTTTACAAAGGAGAATACAATCAAACACCTAGAGCTAACACATACTATATCATAGGGGTGTACATTCAACCCGACAACCCGGACCAACCCAACCCGAACTATAAGGGTTGGATTGGGTTGGATTAGCATTTCGGGTAGGGTTGGGTTCATTTTTCTGAACCTGAACTAAATTGGTTCGGTTTTGGGTTAATGGGCAAAACCTTCGGGTTGATCCAACTAAATAAAATATATAAATTGTAGAGTTTTTTTTCGTATTAATAGGTTTGCCAGAGTGGTGAGATTAGTTCAAAAATAATTACGCCCGAGTTCGACGCCAGCTAAATACAAGTTTATATTTTTATTATTTGATTGTTTTGTTTATTCTATTTATATTAATTTGTTACTTTTAAAATATATTGTTTATTATGATTTATATCTACCTCATTTTTATTTTCCTAATAATTTAGGATATAAGACAACATAGCATATTTCAATTAAAATATTTATTATATAATATAAGGAGCATATTTCAATTAAAATATTTATTATATAATACAAGAGTTTATTAATTATGATTTATACCTACGTCATTTTTATTTTTCTAATAATTTAAGATATAAGCCAACATATAAATAAACATATTTCAATTAAAATATTTTTATATATTTTTTAAGTTTTGTTATATACCGAACAACTTAATGATTTTTATTATTTATTTAACTTTATATGATCTGTATTTTTGTTACTCTAACCAATTCTAAACAAATGTTGGTATTTAGTTGTCTTTAGTTTTATGATTATAATGTTAAACTATATTAATATGTTACCATTTTCGCTCGTTCTTTTTTATTGAATTTGTTTTTTTTGTTTATTTATTTATGATTTGTGTTAGTTATCTTTAGTTTTATGATGCTAATGTTAAACTATATTAATATGTTACCATTTTCGCTCGTTCTTTTTTTTTTAATTTGTTTGTTTATTTATTTCTGATTTGTGTTTGTTTGTGAACTTTTTAATATATTTCATCTAAGATTTGTATCCAATAATTATAAAGGGTAGATAAATAAAACTTAAAAAAAAAAAAATTTAACAACCCAACCCGAACCCAATGCGAAAATAGAGGGTTGGGTTGGGTCACCAATCCAACCAACCCAAACTTTTGGGTTGGGTAAAAAAAATCCCCCAACCCGGACCATGTACACCCCTACTATATCATCCACACAAACAAGCAAACAAGTTCAATGGAGAGAGAACGTCCATTAATCACCTGGAGCATATATCACAATAGTCCATCCTCCCTTCTAATACAGTAGAAAGCATATAAATCAACATTCATCACAAATTTAATCATAGGGGCATTTTGGTAATTTCTCACATCATGCACAAATACTCATCCATATTGTCTAACTTGTACTCTAGTCATGCATATGCTCTTTGTAGCTTTGCATCATACATAAAACAACATGCTTCTCGAAAATTTCAACCTAGGGGCATAAAGTAATTTTACCATACTCATCCAAAAATGCCCTTGTGAAATCCTAAACATGCATTTTCTAACCACCTAAGGTAAGAAATGTTCTCATACTATATTGTAATGGAAGCGGAAACAAGATTGATCGCACTCACACACCCACAAACAGAAATTAAACAAAGAGATACAAAGATTTACGTGGTGGTTCGGAGAGAAAAGTTCTTATGCATCCATAAGTAACAACCAATCTCAATAATCAAAATATTTACAAAATGTATATCCCACGCTCTAAAAACTCATGAGATGTATGTTATTTTAACAATAACGAGAAGAATTGAAAAACATTCTCTATTCCAAAGCTTTCTTCCCTCAGGCTGTTGTTACTACTTCACTTATTTGTTTTGACATATTTCGACGGTGGGTCATTTCCAAAAATGACCCAACACATATTCGATAATTTTCTAATCTAAAGGAAGATATTCTAAATTGGTTAACTTATGTTGAAGCTCACACACATCGATGCTTGGATAGAAGCCGTCACTTTCAACTTGGCATTCAATTGTGTGAAGGTACCTCTCATTTACTTTGATCGTAATGCAACTCAGAATTTCGAGCCCTTCAACGGCTAAAACTCGAAGAATGTTGGAGACAGGGAGCCTATGTTGGGTGGTTGTGTCTAAAACAACTTGAATTCCTAATCCATTTTTCGACCTCACCACCACCGAATCCCTCCGTGAGGAATTCAGCGTTTCCACCATACCGACGGCCATATTCTCGCCAGAGAGATTTTTTAGCTCATCTCTTTTATCAGACAATTGCCGGATTCTTCTTTGCATATATTGAATGTACTTAACCGTTTCATGCATGTGGTCGGATATGGAGGGCTTTCCCTACCACAAAAGAATGTTAATTTGTGAAAAAGAACATAACCCATCGAAGAAAATTGTACCTTGAGGTATTCAAGAGGGAGAAGAGAGCGAAGAGAGGAGTAAAGAGAGGACATTTCTTGTCTCCTTTGGCGCTCCACATCTCTATGCATAATCTTCTTCCTTTTTTGGTCGTTGGGGTTCTCATCGTTGGAAGCGTTGGGCGGTGGGTTTCTCCGGCTGCTTCTTTTGGGCCTTTTGGACGCACTCTTATCATTCTCCAAGGGAGAGATGGAGGGGAACTGAGGAACAGAGATATTATCTATGCATGAAGAAATTGAAGGGAGAGGGAAGAGTTCATCTCCCAAATCAAATGAAATTGGTGATTCAATATTGAATTCCATTTTCTAAGCCCAACACAGATTAACCAATGTTAAAGGGTTCATCAAAAACTTGTACAAACAATACTCCATTTATAACCACTAGTTTCTTAAGGCGGGTGAAACTTTTTTTTACTGACCTGAGGGAGTAACGTATCTGTTACCTGAAATCTAAGGAAATTCGCCAATTCTTTATGTTAGACGAACACAACTCTCCACAACGGTATGATATTGAGTATAATCTCTCATGGTTTGCTTTGTGCTTCTCCAAAAGGTCTCGTAATAATGTAGAGAGTATTCTTCGATTATAAACCCACTTAAATTCTTTTTACCTGGAACATACAAAACAATACATGTGCTGAAAATGGAGTGATGAAGAGCATAGATGTTTGATTATGTGATCCACACATTCTCCCAAAATGCCCATATTTGGCACGCATCCCCGCGTCTCATGGTTTTATTATTAATAATTCTATTTTCCCTTTTGCAATATAATAATAATAAATAAATAAATCTAAAATTTAAATTTTTATAAGCTAATCAAGTAAAAATTATTATAAATTAGAGTGAAGGGTTTGAAATAATATGATAGTAGCGATTCTTCATAGATTTTATAGTATTTTCTCATTTTAAATGAAATCAAATAAAAATATTTATAAACTGTTAACAAAAATATCTATAAATTTTACTAAAAATATCTATAAATTTAACTTGTTTTAGAACATGTCTAGCTATGCAAATGAGAAGTGATCTAATCTAATTAAGAGTATTTCAAGTTGGTCAACTTATGTTGGATCTTGGACGTATCGATTGTTCCAACATTGACAGCTTCAAATTCAATAGTGTGAAGGTACCTACCATTTATCTTGGTCGTAATGCAGCTGATGATTTCGAGATTTTGTGTAAGTAGAGATTTTAGAATCATTGAAAGTGGGAAGCTATGTTGGGTGGCCGTGTCTACAACAACTTGAAATCCTTCCAATCTTGGCTTCACTACCACAAAGTCCTTTTTCGAAGATTGCAATGTTTCGACAGTATGAGTGTCCGAATCATCCTTAAAAAGGCTCTTTAGCTCATCTCTTTTGTTGGTCAGCATTTGAATCTTGGCTTGCATGTTTTGTATGTATTTCACTGTTTCTTGCATGTGATCGCATATTGATCGCTTTCCCTATTTCAAAAGAAAGATGGGAACTGTGTTAGAAATCACGGCTCTCCACAATAATATGATATTATCCATTTTGAGAATAAGCTCTCATAACTCTGCTTTGGTTTCCCTAAAAGGTCTCGCACCAATAGAGATCTATTCGTTATTTATAAACTCATAACCAACTACAATCCTCCTCTCGAACAAAGTACACCATAGAGCCTCCCTTGAGGCCTATGTAGCCCTCGAATAGTCTTTCCTTAATCGAGGCTCGGTTGCTATTTCTGGAGCCCTCGAACAAAGTACACCCTTTGTTTGAGACTTAAGTTACTTTTGACTACGCCTTAGAGACTCACAACTTTTTTGTTTGACATTTGAGAATTCTATTAACATGACTAAATTAAAAGCATGTCTTAGATGCCATGTTAGGAATCACGATTCTCCATAATGGTATGTTATTGTCCATTTTAAGTATAAGCTCTCGTGATTTTGCTTTTGGTTTCCCCGAAAGACCTCGTACCAATGGAGACTATTCCTTACTTATAAACACATGATCAACTCCTTAATTAGCCAATATGAGACTCCCTCTCAACAATCTGTCATATAATTGGCAATTAGAACCAGTTCTCCTATAGTTGCTCCATAAGTTAGTAACTTATTCAAGTTCGTGTATTCTCCTAAAGTTACTCTATAAACATTTGGGTGGGTGATGTTTTTGTAAGTTTTCTTACCTTGAGATTTTCGAGAGGTAGAAGTGAGCAAAGAGCGGCGTTAAGAGTGGACATTTCTTGCTTTCTTTGGCGCTCAACATCTCTATGGATAATCTTCTTCTTTTTGTGTTCGATGTCGTCGGGCGTGTCGGGAGGCCATTTTTGGGGATTTGGGTGAGATCATCGTCAGTATTGTCCTTGGGAGAGATGAATGGAGGGTGAGGAAGAGGATGGTCAAAAGAGGAAAGAGAAGGAAGTGGAAATAGCTCATCAACTTGATCAAATGGAAATGGGGAATCTGAGAGAGAGAGAGAGTTCATTAAAGAATCAACAACATTTGAATAATGAATTTTATTTCATTTTACTCCATTTTTTCTCGACTAGATACTCAAATAAATAGAAATTGTGATGTTCGAGTAAATAATAGATACATAAATGAATCGAGAACGCATCTAGATGAAACGATAGACTTAAACATACTATAATAACTCATTACTACGTATACCAAATAATGTGCAACTTCTTTTTCGATGGCTCAAGTGTAGTAACGGCATGGTATTTTCCTAGGATACATGTGGGTGAAGACAAAACATACTATAATAACTCGTTGGTTTGTGGAGATAGTCTTCGGTCTTACAAACAATAAGTAGTTAATGTGACAATGTCACGAGAGAATGTAAAAATTATCGGAAGGGGAATATGTATTCCAAGACGTGTGGTTACATAACAACTTATTTTTGTCTATTATAGTTCTAATTTAGTAAAAAAATAAAAATAATAAATAATACTAATTTAGTATTCTTTCGTACACCTTTAGTTATATTAATTCTTATAATAGAAAATATAATATTAATAGCGTAAAAAATATAATAGTAAATTATTAGTAGCAATATATCATTTTCGGTCGACGGATATCTCTCTTGAACATTTACCTTGTTTATAGTTATAAACTTACCAGAAACATATTAGTGACCGACATAAAAATAGAATATTAAAGAGGTGTACATGTGATATAAATATTGAGATTAAAAAAATAATTATGTAAAAATATTTAAATAGAGAAGTAAAGTAGGGGTTCATTTCATATAACACAATAATCCAATTAACCCATAAAGGAACCATAAAGTATTTTTCAATCAAGATTATATTGAAATTTTAAAAAATTAAAATATTCAATTCAATTGGTAAATTGATATATATATATATATATATATATATATATATATATTTTGTTGAGTTATATTCAACGCATATTTAAATTTTGCAAACATAAGAAACAGCAACTAAAAAAGAATAATAATAATAATAATAATAATAATAATAATATATTATTATTATTATTATTATTGTATTTTAAAAATAATACATATAATTGGGACAGTTGGGCTCAAACCACTACCCATATTGAGAGATTATTAAATGAAATCCGTCAATAATTCACTAATTTTTTAAAATAACATCATAACTCATCTAATTTGTTAGTTTGGAGACGTGAATTTTACTCTTTTTATTATTATTATTAGAAATTCAGACTAGAATCAGTACTCTGGGGGAAAAAAACTAATACAAATATTATTAATTGGAAAAAAAATTAGGCTAACTTACAACTAGAAGACACAAATATTATTATTATTATTTTTTTAAATACGGAAGCAAAAAAATTTAGGATATGTGTCTTGTATGTTACCCTAAATTTATAAACGTTTCCTATTGAGCGTAGAGGTAATCATGAGTTGACTTCGGTCAGATCAAGTTGATATGTTTCATGAGTTGACTTCGGTCAGATCGGGTTGATATGTTTTCTTTAGACTCGACTCAACTGTTTGTATTGTAAATTTTTTTAACTTTAAAGATCGGGTTGATATGTTTTCTTTAGACTCGACTCAACTGTTTGTATTGTAAATTTTTTTAACTTTAAAAGTTGGTTAAAGTTATTTTCATCATTTATTTAATATTTTATTTTTATTATATAAAATATCTATTTTTATTTTAAGAAAATTAAAATTCCTAACTCAATTTTAATATATTTATTTATAATTCTATTTTCTTTTTCCATTGGAGAATGATAAATGGATTTATTTTCTAATTCTTTAAATTAATGGTTAAACGAACACCTTAATCAGAGTTTTAATTTAACTTCGAATTTTATTTATTAAAATAAAAGCCATATTTGAAAATGCATATGTTAAAATCACTTTTAAACACGTATTCAAAATTAATTTAATATTTAATTTTATAATTTTTAACACAATTTTCATACTATCAAAATTAATTTTAAATTATTAAAAATTTGTTTGAAATTATTTTAAAAGCGATAAATGTTATTTTAACAATATCTAAAATGTAGAAACTAAAATAATTATTTTCAAAATTTATGAATAATTGAAAAACTTAAAAGAAACGTGAATGAAATGAGTGAGAAATGAATAGTACACAATAGAACCAAAACAACGAAGAAAAATGATCTTAAAGAAATGATGATTAGAAAATGCTCGACGAAAGTAACAGATAACACAAAAGATTTGTAAAGATTATAGGAAAAAAATGAAAACTTTAAAATAACTATTTTTTTAAAAGGATAATAAATGGAAAAAAAATTACCAAAGTCCAATCTCGGGAACAACTGGAATTCCCAATCCTATCTCCAAAAAAATAAATGGAGAATTTCACACAGAAAGAGAATGAAATAGGTGACGGAGATGAGGAACATTATCAAAGTCCAATCTCGGCAAATTCCCGGCTGGAATTCCCAACCCTATCTCCAAAAAAATAAACGGAGAATTTCACACAAAAGGAGAATGAAATAGCTGGGGGGATGAGGTACAGAACGGGGAACGGTTCCTCATCTCCGTCCCCGCCCCATAGACAGACATTTCTAATAATGAGTCCAACTTCATGAAGCACAATTGTATTCCTTAAGGAACTAGTTAACCTTTTACATTACGCAGAAAAAGTTGAATTGAAGAAGGAAAACATGTGTCTAAGGTTCAATGGTGAAGAGAAGACGCTAGCATTGTTTCAAAGAAGGCAAAAGCCCTTCCTTCTTAGCCATTTCATAGAGTCCAAAGGCCATTAGAGCCTTCGCATCTGCTGTAACTCGCCACAGTTTTTCATAGGGAACAACATGAACCTTAATCAGCTCACCATGATCCCTGAGTCCGGTTTCCTTT